CTACATAAGTTTATTAAAAATTCATAAAACTAATATTTCCCTACAAATATATATTCAGACAATTGCAAACGTAAGGAAATTATAATTCTTTTATGATAAACGCTTCAGGATTTATGACTACAATAGATGTTATTCTAGTCACTATGGTAACGTCGTTTTTAGCAAATAAGTCTGGTGACTTCACTTACCTAATATAGTTTGAAAACGACATTGATGTGAGTATTGGTTGAATGTACTATTGTGGTGTGTGTTATTTATGTCGATAGACATAAGTAGTATGTAACACTAATCGACAGTGGAATGCCTGGTATCAGAAGGTGGGGAAGTCAAAATAGAAAATAATGGGACCAGAGAGTAATTGATATGGAAATCAAGTCTGAGACAGTTGATGAACATTTTACCAAATAACTCTGTAGTTTTATATTTAAATACAATTGGTTGTCCCCCACCAGTGTTCTCGTCGACTACATTATGATAATTATGTAATAATAATACTTATTATAATATTTGGATAGTGTAATTGAAAGACGACAATTATTATTAGCTCAATACATTTTGAACAGTCTGACCACATATAATGTACTGTTTAAGAACATTTATATATAAAAATAAAAGATCAACCAGACTAGAAATGGAGGGTGACAGTAGACACAGATAATTATTACATTACGGTTCTAACAACTGGATTATAAAGACACATCTGTCAATCCCAAGTTATTTAAATAGGTGTTCTTTGTTACTCTTGTTATGCCATCATTTTTATTAAGTAAGTTCTGATTATTTCCTTCTTTCTTTTCAAAATCATATGGACTAATTAAATTAAATAGTTGTAAGACGTTGGAATGAAGATTTGAATGTAGGCTATGTGAAACTTGATCAGTCGGATAAGGTCCACCAATTAAAATAAAATTCATACCATGATTTACTAAGGAGAGGCTGGATTGTCTAACTATACTAGTACTATTGATTGTTGCTCTCACTCTGAACACCTTTTAAGGTAATTTCTCTGGACGGAGTACATTCGATTACCATAAAAAACATAGGTTAACATTATACTTTCTCGATTAGTTACAACCAACACTAGTCTTAAATCTGTAGCTTCTTTCCAACGTTTTACAAACACTATTTATAAAGCAAAGTACATTATAGTAACAAGCCTTTTTGCATAAATTCTAGCATGTATAATATAGACTAAATAGAACAATTAACCCCATGATCTATTCAACATGACATAGGCTACTACCACTATGGTGTGCACCACTACTTTTGCGGATATACGTAGTTAGTATGTGGCAGGAATTGGGAGTAGAATGCTTACCAGCAGAGCAGTGAAATAAGAAGAGGAAGGAAAATGAAGGGCAACAAGAGGATCTGAAGAATAATGAAGTATGTAAAAAACAACTGAAGGAACATATGTAAATGATGTATGTAATATATCATTTTCATATTTTACAAATCTACTTTTTTATTGCGCATTAAAATGGTACATTGATTTACCGTACTTGAGTTTTCGTTCACTGCACTACATACGCTTTTTACCCTTCATGTAGGAATCAAGCCGCACACCAGCATTCTCTATCCAACTCTGTAACAGACAATCCTTTACGGTTGTTTCCAGTTGCTACTCAATATTTTGATGTCTGATTTCAATTCCCAACGCAGTGTATTCTTTGTTCTCCCTCTTTTCCGTTTGCCATCACGATTCCAATTTAGCGCTTGCCTCGTGATGTAGTTTGATGATTTCTGTGATATATATCTTATCCACTTCCAACGTCTTTTCATAATTTCCACCTCAACTGGAAGCTGGTTTGTTCTCTTTCATAGTATCCGGTCAACGGATATTGAGTATCTTGTGCAGACAACTGTTTAGAAATACTTGTACCTTCTTGATGATGGTTGTAGTAGTTCTCCAAGTTTCAGCTCCGTACAGTAGAACTGTCTCGACATTCGTATTGAAGATTCTCATTTTGATCTTGATTGACAGTTGTTTTGAGTCAAACATTTTCTTCAACTGTAGAAATTCTGTCCTTGCTTTGCCAATCTTCACCCTCACATTGTCGCATCAGAACACTCTTATTACTACACCATTACTACTGAGTAAATAATAAATTTTGATAAAATAATGAATGACGTAAGGTTCTCAAATCATGACTGATTCATTTTAATCAAACTTTTAATTTAAATCTCAGATTGATTATCAGTCCCTTAAAGATTATGCGTACACCTTGTTGACGATTGCAATCTAGCATGACACCTGGATTCAAGATTTCCTACCGACCACTTCTAATTATGAAACCAATATAAGTCTTCTTATAATTAATAAAAATAATATCTACATAAATTTACATTTGTTCTGATCATTTGATTGTCTTTTGAAACACGTCTTAGTAAAAATATGTTCAATAGTAATAATAGTAAAATTATTTTGAACTGCAACTTTTTAGTACCTATGAGTGTTTAATGTTGGAAAATCAATAGAAACGTTCAAAACAATTGATTCACTACTATACATGTAAATTATTTCGTTTTATAAGAGGGGGACATTCTGATCGATCGATTGTTTACGGTTAATCTTAATCGAATTATGTACAGTTACAAACGTTGTTTACCAATAACATGAATATCTCTAAAGTTATTTTCCATCACCCCACATTCAGGTGAAGTCGAAGGTCTTGGGTCCTAGCATTGCGTACAGGATCGTGGATGCATATTTTTGAGAAGTCTCATACTAGGATGAAATGGCTGCTCAGTACTTTCAGGTTTTCAATAGTGAACTAACAACCCAGAGCCTTCAGTCTCGCAAGCGAACGCTTAACCTACTGGACCACTGAGTTGGCCGGCATTCAATGGTGTTAATGTCTAACTTCAACCAATCCACGAAATCGCGCGACCATCTTTCATTGTATTGAGGAAGATACCTGACTCTACCCGATACGGGTTAGCTCCACTGGTCACGGCTTCTCACTAAAACTCCGAGAATTCCTTCACGAAATTGATCATTAATGAGCGCACATGTTAATCATCAGTATAGGGATTGCCTTTGAAAACCAATGTACACTTATGACTCTAATAAGGACCTCAACTCAGAGTCATCTATATTTCATAGAGAACACGATACTTTATAATCGCTTACTTTGAAACTTATATTTCACAGTTTAAACTTTATTTAGTTCATTATTAACTGCAATTCATATTTTAATAGTATATCAGTTGATGAAATTAACTATTGAAGACTATATGCGAAAAACCAATTCTATATAGATATAAAGATTATGGCTAGAAATTGACGTATCAACTGATTGATTGATTAATGTACAGGATCATTCTAATGTTATACATAGTTCATTTCAATAATAATAAATACATATATAATGAATAGAAAAGAATTTGTGTTGAATCTATGTTCAACGTAGAGTGACGCTAATTACTAAGATATTGTTTTTATATCCGAACGAGAATCAATGAGTGTTAACCACTAGTAATTATTTATAGACTAATATGATAAGAATATTCTTATTGTATGACTATTAAGTAACTATATTATATCCATATTCATATTCCTTTCATTATAATCTTTTGTTTGACTTATTGGTTACTGTTATATGATTTACTATTCTATTAGTCACAGTTTCTTACAATCACAGCCACTTTTGGCTTGATCTTGTGCCAATGTTATTTTCTATTTTATGGGTGATGTGGTATGATTAGTTTGTATATAAACTCAATATGTTTGAAATATATCATTCGTATTGCAGAGACGAAGATGTCGTTCTGAACTTAACAGGCAGAGTTAGGCAGTAAAAGGAATAATAAGAACTGTAGGCTGCACGTACTGGTGTACCTGTCATTAGTTTGGTCGTATAAGTCAACGTATTTGAATTGGCAATTGTATTTTGCGATAATCGTGTAGCTAAGAAAATAACAATTATCTATAACCATTAAAGGAAAAAACTTGGCTGCCTCTGTTATTCTAATCTATACAGTCTAGTATTATTTGAAGAGACTGTGATAACAAAATTAAGTTATTAATTAAGTAGGAAAATATATATTTGTAGCATAGCAACGATTGAATTTGAAATAAATGCAACATTTTACTTGATAATCGAGTTCAAGCTTTCTTCCAGAAAATATAATCAAACATCAAAAGTATCGAATATAAATAGGCAAATGGTTCTCTGGTAAACTAAACACGTCATCCAATCATATTGTCAATGTCGAAAGTAAAAAAATATGAGATATCTGATGTGCGATGAAATGTGTGTTAAGATAACAGATTGCATGACTGTATGTTAGATTTATTGAAAATTCAAGTGCTTATATTTTACAATTATGTATATTTTTTCCCTTCTTAATGACTTACATTCAGTCGGTGTCGAACTACTGTGAAACTATTCGTTCCAAATTAGACGAAAGCTTATATATAATATATAGTTGAAATCATGAGTCAATTGAAGCTAGACCACCATGGAAAACCTAGAAGCACTGGACGGCCGTCTCATTCTATTATGGGACTCCTCAGCAGTGTGCATTCACGATCACGCCTCGCGGGATTTCAACCCAGGGCCTATCAGTCTCGCGGCAGGCGCTAAAGCAACTAGACCATTGAACCGGCCGGCATCTAACAGTGTTAATGTCTAACTTTAACTAATCCACGAAATTGAGCCATACATCCATCATTGTCATCAGTGAGTTACTTTTACACAACTGACCCAGCTGAACTCCACTGGTCACTGTTTCTCACTAGAACTCCAGGATATACCTCTTGAAGCCGGTCACTAGTGAGCATATGTTGATTAGTATCAGGAGGGGTTTTATGGAGATTTTTTTAGCTTCAATTGGCTCATGATCTCAACCGTTGAAATTACTGCGATCTCCATAAAACTCCTTCTGATATATATAGGGTAAATTATTGTCTCATTTAATTAAGCAACGTACCCTATCTTTGAATTATTTGGAAGATTTCAACTTCATATAACAATAAAAAAGTACTAATTACTTACTACTTTTCAAATTATTAACATTATTTGATTCCAATTGTATTTGGGGTTGATGTGATAACAATGGAAAAATACCACCAGGCATTAAGATCAATTGTTTTTGTCCCATATTATGTAATATATTAGTATTTTCTGGAGCATATGTAATCCATTCATAAGTTTTACCTCTTTCTAATTTTGGTAAACATTGTTCATTATCGTTATCAGTATTCATGTGAACTGATATATCTCTCATAGATAGATCATGTAAATCTTTTGATTTAATTTGATTCACATAAACTAATTCATTAATTTGAAGATAATTAGACAGATTTCTAATTTGTGGTTGTTTCAAAATTTTAATGATTTTAACAAATGCATTTAAACCAATATTATGAACATTATCAGTAGTATGTTCTTTTATGAATTCGGATGGTTTATCTAATTGAATGATTTCCGCTTCAAAACGATAAGTATTTTTTGAATTTGATAATGCAATCAATTGTTCACGACTTAAACAAATCCATGTCGCTGATATAGTTGAATGATATGTACTACTTATGATAGTAATAGTAATAATAATATTAATAATACTAATATATGATGATAATGTCAATAATGAATATTGTGAGAATAACATAATATATCCTTGATCTGTCATAATTATTCCATATAATCACTTTTGTTTAAATGTTTAAACATTATGTTTACATTCTCCTTGTCATGATAAGTATTGAATTATGAATGAGAATAATACGTTATAATAATAATAATAATAATAATAATAATAACGACAATAATAGTAGTATTTCAGTAATCCAATGAATTTATTGTTTACAATCCACAAATATAATTCCTCCAAGTCATTTACATTAATTTCAACAATCAAAATGAGTAACAGAGAGAGAGAGAGAGGGAGGGAAAAGAAAACAAGAAAAGTCAGTAACTGTTACTTTATTTTTCTTTAATTTAAATAGTTGCTAAGACGTATGTTTTTCTTCCTAAAAAAAAAGAAAAGAAAAAGTAAATTCTAATATGGAATTATTGGTTAATAGTCTGTAAATATTATAGAACATTAGTTAGTAGAATAGTAGTGAATTCATTTATTATAGAAATTAAATTGAACTGATGATATTCAATAATGATTGAGTACATTTGTCAAGAATTCACAATTAAAGTGAGGTGTTCTTTTTTAAAGGTACATTGTTTTTATTACTCAATATTATTTCAATTAGACATATGCAAACATTCAACTATATATAAAGACATACATTTACGTACACACATAAATGTATATATATATACATATATATACTTACACACAGATTGTTGATAGGCAGAAAGATTATTCAGGCTCAATACACCTTAACAATTATTATTATTATTATGACTTAGATATTATGATTACAAATATGTGGGTGTATTAAGGCATAACTTAGCTTCCATTGACAAACAATAACATATAAACATATCTGTAAGCGTATGCAGATACACAAACTGTTATAGATGAAAACAAATTGATTGTTTAAAAGAGCACACTACTCAAGTAATGTGCTTTTTTGTTAAGTATATATATATTCTTTTAATCATTCACCGAAAATTCTATTCTACTATTAGGCTTATTCACAAATGATAAGAAATTCCAAGAGAATAGTAAACACTAATACAATTTGATTAGAATTCTTTCATTTATTATATATATATATATATATCAGTTATTGTTTCTTTTCTCTCGTTTATCACCAGGATTATATATATATATAAGTCACAAGTTGGAATTTCAACAATGAATCAATTTCATTGTATTTCATTCATCATAATGTTCATTCATTTTGACGCATATAAAATCATAATAAAATAGGTAAAGATGATTTTGTTTAGACAAATAATGAAATATAGGAACATGATTAAATAATTTTATTATATAGGCATAGTTACCATATTACATAGTTGTTATTTTACAACACACTTATTTGATAAATCTCATTGGTCAGTAAAATGGCTCATAATAAGTATGAGTATGTTTATCTATGTGTATGTTTGTATGTATGTATGAATGGATGGATGTTTTTCAACAGTGTTTCCATGTCATATTGTGTTTATTTAGGCATATTGAATAAATTCTTAATTAATTGATTATAACTAAATGGAAATTTTAAAGAAGTAAAATTTCCATAGACATAAATAAAAACACCAAGTGAAAATTATTCGATTAGAAAAAAAACTTCATTGATTAACAACAACATTCATAAAGAATGACACCCAGTTAGTGAAGAGAAGAAAGCGTAGTTTAAATATAAACTAGTTGAAAACTTTGCTGTATTTAAAATAATAAAGGGAACTATGTGTATGAAATAACATTCACTTAAGTTCAATAGTTGAGATCATGAGTCAATTGAAGCTAGACCACCATAGAAAACCTGGAAGCACTGGACAGCCTAGGAGTCCCACAGTAGGATGAAACGGCCATCCAGTCCTTCAAGGTTTTCCATGGTCGTCTAGCTTCAATCGAATCACGATTTCAACTATTAAAATTACTACAATCTCTACAAAACCCCTTCTGATACTGTGGTGTGTGCTACGTATATTGACATAAGTAGTATATGATGTTAGTCGTGAACAGAATGTCTGGCAGCAGAGAGACAAGAGGATCGAACACTAAAGAATGGAAACAGGATGCAATTTGTATGGAAATGCAAGAACAATGGAGTCTGAGTCATTTTGAGACAATTGGTAGACATTTTGCAAATTAGGCATTTACTTTATGATTGTTAGATTTTATTAACAATCCTGTAATTTCGTATTAAACACATTCGATTGTCCCCATTGGTGTTCTTGTTCACTACAATACTATTCACGTAAGTGTTGATGTATGATATACTTCAAGAAATAAATAAATCATGAATAACGGTTGAATAAAATAAAGTCGGTACACTGGCATCTTATATTATAGTGACAGAGAACACATGCGAGAACAACCGATTATATTTAGCACAAAAAAATTACAGAGTTACTTGTTAAAGTAGAATAACTATGCTGTAATACTTCATTTGTAAAATGTTCATTAATTGTTTCAGACTTCATTGTTCCTGCATTATCATACCAATTGCTTTTTGTTCCTGTTCTTCTCTTATTGATCTTCTCAATCTTCTGCTGCCGGACATTCTATTTCTGACTTGCGTTATATACTACTTATATCAGTTTATGCAGCACACATCACAGTATTCTTTATAGTTAGGTAAATAAAATTCAGAACACTTTACCTAGAATTCTCACTTACTTAATATTCGAAATATTTTTAATTAACTACAAATTGAAACCAGAATTATGTGTATAGATAGTGTGTTGAATCCCATCCACCTCCTCCATTTACTACAGATCTGATTTATTGCTCCAATATAATGGTTTTCAAAATTTTTTTTACCTCTTCACATTTTCTTAACCTAAAATACTTGATTATAATCTGTATATTTTATACACTGCGATGTTAACCCTTAGGTTAATTACACTGATAAGTTGTAGAAGCCTAACAGTTGGACCCTTCGTTATTCATTAAAGAATGAGAGATTCAAAAAACTGATTTCATGCAATCTAATAAAGTTTACTTTTGGTAAATTGCTGTATGTATTTATGTTATTTTATTAGACAAAAGGTCTATTATTCTGGTTCGTGTTCTTAGCTTTGATTTTAAATCTAATAAGATCTTAAGTCAATAACTTAATCTTATGGGCGTCCATCAATAGACCACATTGCATTATTTTATACCAGTGATCGTTTAGCATTCTTATTTTTCTAATATTCGAATATTCAGAGATAGGATTCGGGTCTGCGAATTTGTAGAATATCTGCTTTTCAATTTTCAATACGTGTGTAATGTCTAAACTCCGCCTGTAGCTCTTACAGGGTTACTGCCGGTCCCAAGCCCGGGTAAAGGAGGAGGGTTGGGCATGGGGTTAGCGCCCCCATCCTGTAGAAAACTAACTCGCTAAAAAAACGCTTACCAGAAAAAATAATCCAAACCATTTTAACTCTGCCTTGGGAGTTAGAAGGTCTTCATTTAGAACAATTATGACGCTTCATGGTGAAAGCCGAGTTCCTTCGGAAGCCACGAGGCCGATGCCACTTCTAACAACCAGAGCAACAATTTTTATAGGTACATGGAACGTTCGAACAATGTGGGAAACCGGGAAGATCAGTCAAATAGCAATGGAAATGAGGAGATACAACTTAGCAGTACTGGGAATCAGCGAAACCCACTGGACCCAAGCTGGACAGAAAAGGCTAGCTACGGGAGAGATGCTGATATACTCCGGTCACGAAGAGAACAATGCTCCACACACTCAGGGAGTCGCTCTTATGCTGTCCAAAGTAGCACGAAATGCACTCGTAGGATGGGAGTCTCACGGATCCAGAATCATCAAAGCATCATTCAAAACAAAGAAGGAGGGGATCTTAATGAATATTATCCAATGTTATGCACCCACCAATGATAGCAACGACGACATCAAAGATCAGTTCTACGAGCGGCTGCAGTCAATCATTGAGAAATGCCGAAGAAAGGACCTAACTATTCTGATGGGAGATCTAAATGCCCAAGTCGGAATAGACAACACTGGATATGAAGATATTATGGGACGACATGGATTGACTGGGAGAAAGAAACGAAAATGGAGAAAGATTTGTAAATCTGTGTGCATTCAAAAAATTGGTCATAGGAGGCACAATATTTCCACACAAGCGTATACACAAGGCTACATGGATCTCACCGGATCACACTACAGAGAACCAAACAGATCATATTTCCATCAACGAAAAATTCCGAAGGACAACTGGAAAGGCATCAAGGAAGCATTAACTTCAACGTGTCAAGAGGTTCTGGGCCTAAAGAAACACCATCATAAGGAATGGATCTCTATAGAAACACTGGACAAGATCAAAGAAAGGAAGAACAAGAAGGCAGCAATTAACAACAGCCGAACACGAGCAGAGAAAGTCCAAGCACAAGCTGAATACATAGAAGCAAACAAACAAGTGAAGAGGAGCATTAGAGCCGACAAGAAGAAATACGTGGAAGAACTAGCAACGACGGCAGAAAAAGCTGCTAGAGAAGGAAATATGAAACAGCTTCACGATACAACGAAGAAACTAGCAGGGAAATACAGTAAACCAGAGAGGCCGGTCAAAGACAAAGAAGGCAAGCCAATCACCGAAATTCAACAACAGCGTAACAGATGGGTAGAATACTTCGAGGAACTCCTGAATAGGCCGGCTCCAATGAATCCACCGGACATCGAAGCAGCACACATAGATCTTCCTATAGATGTCAACCCACCAACGACGGAAGAAATTAGAATGGCCGTCAGACAAATCAAGAACGGGAAAGCAGCAGGACCCGACAACATACCAGCTGAAGCACTGAAATCAGACATCGAAGCAACCACAAGCATGCTATACCTTCTATTCAAAAAGATTTGGGAGGAGGAACAAGTGCCAATGGACTGGAAAGAAGGACACCTCGTCAAGATTCCAAAGAAAGGAGATCTGAGCAAATGTGAAAACTACAGAGGCATTACACTACTGTCAATACCAGGGAAAGTCTTCAACAGAGTGTTGCTGAACCGGATGAAGGATGCAGTAGACGCCCAACTTCGAGATCAACAA